GTAGATGTAAAAAAAGGCTTAAATATTATTTACTTTCCTTGAAATTTGCTTTACTAGGAAGATACCTTCTGAAATATTGATACATGTATATACTTCCCAGGCTTAGTAAAAGAAATTTTGTTCAGCTAATGTTTGGGGCTTTTAAATACCCAGGTCTTTTTACACCCCACCTCCCCCCAGATATCCTACAAGCCAGGATGATCTTTTGGAATGTTCATGGGAGTACACGGAATGAGAGGCTGCCAACCACTTTTCTCTCAAATACAAAAACTATGAAAAAAAGCAAATTATACCTTATTCCCTGTAATCATAATCAATATCTGTCAGCCCTTCAAGGTAGATTAGATTAGGAAACCAACCTTATGAATGCTAATAATACTTTTATTATAAGCTTACAGTAAAAGAATCTTGCAAATCTGAATACACTTCTTCCCTCCATCCTTTATGTTCCAGAGAATTACAAATTAGGTCTGAGACACTTCCTCAAATTATTTTCTGCCTTGGACTCAAATCTCTTGTCTGATTGTGTCTTTGTTGTAGTTCATCCTCCTGTTCTTCAAGTTTATTAATACTGGTCATTTTATCTCATCATTTTCCTCCTCTACACAAAAATAAAATGACATGCAAAGAGGACCTGTCCAAAAGTATTGTCCAATTTAATGGAATACACTTTCCAAAGATACTTATTTGGAGAATCTCATTTTTTTTCTCTTCAGTATTTTAAATTTTAAGTTTTTACCAGCAGTATCATAGAATGCAACTTTGATAGGTGTCTCTATTTCATTGTTGTCTTGTCCTTTTCTATACTTTTATAACCTGACATTATTATTGCAGAACAGATTGGTCAGGTAATGAAAGTATTAATGTTATTTTATGCCCAACATTGCACCATTTATGAAAAGTGGGTAATAAATCTGATTGATGCAGGAATTTAATGACCTGACCTAACACTGCCCTGTCACAATTATTTTGGTTTGCTTATTCTATAAATTTTTGGGAAACAAACAAAACAAACGTAACGGCTTGAAAATGAGAAAATACTATCCTAATGATTGGCGCAACAAAACCATGTTTATAGCCTATTACATGGTTTCATTGGCAGTACCTATATCTCTAATGATCTGTAGGTCTTCTCTCAGCTTATAATAGCTCATGAAGCCCTATCTATAAAGATACAATTTTAAATGATGATTAATGTGCAGTTTTTAAACCATTTAATAAAACATAGAATTTTTCATTGTTCCAATGTCCTTCTGATTCTGACACTTCAAAAAAAAAAATCTTTTAATGTTGACAAGCATCTGGAACAAAGCATTCTAGAGTAACACTTGCCCCAGAGATGTTATACTGAGAATGTGACAGGTATAGCAATAAAAAGCAGAACAATGCATATTTTCCTGTGCCTTTGGTAAACCCAACAACAATAAATTTCTTTCAAATGCTGTTCCTGACAAGAAGTTTATTACTATTTAATACATTGCTATATAAGGAGCCTTGGTGGCGCAGTGGACTAAGTGCTGTTAAAGTAGCACTTAGCTGCCAGCAGCCTGCAATTACTGCAAGTTCAAATCTCACCAGGCTCAAGGTTGACTCAGCCTTCCATCCTTTCGAGGTAGGTAAAATGAGGACCCGGATTGTGGGGGCAATAAACTGACTTTGTATAAAAAAGAACACCGCTGGGGGGGGGGCGAAAGCCCTACTAAGCAGGTATATACAAAAGTATGAAGGCTATTGCTTAATGCATTGTAAGCCGCCCTGAGTCTCTGGAAAAGGGCGGCATATAAATCGAACTAAGAAAGAAAGAAAGAAAGAAAGAAAGAAAGAAAGAAAGAAAGAAAGAAAGAAAGAATAAAGAATGCGTCTACATAATTCAGATGCTGAACAAAATATAAATGACACCAATTACTTCACCTCAAGAAAGCTTTACTTTTAATAGCTGTTGGGTGAACTGTGGGAACAGCGAAGGTTTTTAATCCTTTGTCCAAACAAAAGGTTCCAAAACTACTATTATCCTTAAACCAAACAGAAATATAATTCACTCTTCGATCCTTCAATCATTGGTTTGTAAGACTGCAAAGGCTGGGCTTACGTGCAGCAGATTTAAATTGAAATCAACAGTCATTTCAGGAAGTGATAGGATGGACAGAATAGGATTGCTATATGTTCCCCTGCCCCACATACAAAAAGTCTCTATACACACAGAAAATCAGAATAACTGACATTTTGAATTCTGGAACTGTGTTGATCCAAAATCGAAATTATTAATTACACCCACACTTGCTGTTCAGTAAGGCATATTGCAACAGCCAATTGGAAACTTCCAATGACTAGATTTATGCTCCAAATTAGACGTGTCATGGGTTTATATTATCTGCCTTTAAAATACTCAACACTCACAACAGGGATGCTAGGCATATGTTCAGAAGTATGATAAATAAATGTTTGCTTTTAAAACCCAGAGAACTTTTATTACTGGTGATATAAAAACTACAAATTATTATTATGCATAAGATGTTGGAAAATCATGATCGCATACAGTTTGGACTATATTCTCATCAACTATCTATGCAAAGTGTAGCTAGGTCTCTCTTCTTACATCTAGAACAGTGGTTCCCAACCTTTTTTTGGCCATGCTCCACCTAAGCATCTCAAAAATCCTGAAGGCCCCCTCCTGTGACATATAATTCTTACTATTCAAAAAGTGAACTCCTACTCACAGGAGGAAGCCTAAAACTTGGTTTAAACAAGGTTTCAATTGCCCCCATTAAAAATCAAATTGCCCCTCTGTGGGGCGTGGGGCCCAGGTTGGGAACCACTGATCTAGAGTAAAATGTAAAATGTAAGTAACATTAGGGAACAAATTAAATAAGACAGAGGCAAATAGTAACCTTCTGCACAAAAGTGTTCATTTCCTATTAATCAACTTGGGACTGCAACTTAACATTCTTTAGAAAGAATTCAGCCTAATGAGGGACCCAATTGTTTACACACACACACACACACACACACACACACACACACACACACACACTAATGTTACTATAGTATAACTATATTATATACACAACATTCCTCCCAACAAGGAAATTTATCAGTGGTACATTAGGTATTCCAGTATTATTTCACTTTTACCTTTGAAAATACTGTGTAGTTTTTTTGAATATTACATAATTATTAATGCAGCAGCACCACACTTCTAGGAGAGGGGTCCTTGTCTTTATGAAATCCAATAGAGTAAATGAATAATATACTTTTTACTGAAGTCATAGTAAATATAATATTCAAAAATATTCAAAAGTTGAATAGCATCTGTAACAGATAAAGGATTCCAAACTTATTCTTAACTGAAGAGTCCTTACCAGTGTATCAAAGATAGAACATGTAAACATGCCTTAATGGTATTTTAATATTAGATAAACTAAGCATTTTTTATGACTATTAGATCATAGTATTTAATATTAGATAAACTAAGCAAATTCTGGATAGTTGCAACTATTTAGGACTATTGATCAATATCACTTAGTTGTTAAAGTACAATAATTTAGAGATTTCCCATGGATGTTATGGCAAATTAGACATCCCTAAAGGAGTGGGGAGGGACACAGTGGCTCAGTGGCTAAAACACTGAGCTTGTCCATCGAAAGGTCGGCAGTTCAATGGTTCAAATCCCTAGTGCTGCGTAGGGAGAGAGCTAGAGCTCATGTTTGGCTATGTTGATCTTCAAAAGTGTACATTTTTACTTCACTAAGGCTTTAATCACGCGATGGCTCAGTGGCTAAGACACTGAGCTTGTCGATTGAAAGGTTGGCAGTTCAGAGGATCGAATCCCTAGTGCCGGGTAACGGGGTGAGCTCCCAGCTTCTGCCAGTCTAGCAGTTCAAAAGCACGTAAAAAATGCAAATAGAAAAATAGGGACCACCTTTGGTGGGAAGGTAACAGCATTCTGTGCATTTTTGGCGTTTAGTCATGCCAGCCACATGACCACAGAGATGTCTTTGGACAGTGCTGGCTCTTCGGCTTTGAAACGGAGATGAGCACCACGCCCTAGAGTTGGGAACAACTACCACATATGTGTGAAGGGCATTTCAGGAAAGATTGGCAGCCAGACAGTATACATACAGTATATAAAAAGTATACAAAATGCTCTTATTCTTATATACTAGTATTTTATATTCTAGCATATAAAAATAAGAGCAAACCTCACTCCTTTCTATCACTGATCATGTTGCTTAATTTGGTAATGAAATGTCTGCAAGAAAACCACCAAACTCAGAGAGTATCAAGAACCCCACAGTCGGCTATTCCCAAAGCACTTAGTGATGCAAACTTTTCTGATCTGAAAAAAAAAAATGGCTGTGGATTCAGCATTTCTTTTCCTAGTATCCCTTAGGTTGCCCTCAGCTGAAAAAGCACAGTCATTCAAATGCTATTATTGACAGAATCCAGAATGAATATTTAAGAGCAAACCACATATGTTGTTCCCAGCATTCTAGGAATGTTTGTTCATTTATTTCTGAATGTAAACATAGGCAACATCTCCACCTCTGACTTTAATAGTTTGGAGACTTTTTTGTTTTAATTTTTTTTAAAGCTATTTGGACTTATAATAATACAGAATGATGCTAACTTTCTCTCTGGATATTTATTTTATCGTCCATTCAGCACATATGCAGACACTCTGTATACGTGTGGTATATATTTTGTCTGACAGATGTTGCAAATTATTAATCCCCCGGAAGTCCCATGGATTAAATCTTAAATCTCTAAACATTTCTAATTGTTGCAGCATGCAGTACAACCCTGTGGTAAAAATGACTCAGAGTTTCACTGAAACAAATAAACATCTGACTTTCTTAATTAAGCCTCAAGTTTCAACATGATTTTTCTATTGATTTTTTTAATTGTTTCTGTACTTGACAACAGTGTTCCTGGAAAAAAAAAGAAAGAAAGAAAACCCAAGGTATTCTTCAAGGTATTACACTTTCATCTGTGCTACATACCTGCAACCCTTCAATAGCCAGTCTGAGGATTGAAGGGGTCAATTTGGAGGCTTGCTTGAAGGAAAAATTACTCCAGTCTATAATTAGAATGAAGCCGTTTATCTGAAGCTCTTGATCTTCAATCAGAATTTCCAAGGACAAGAGAATAGCCCGTAAAATATCTACGAAGGAATTTCTAAGAATGGGAGAAAAGAGAAAAAAATCATTACTGCTTCTTAAAATCATTCAAAAAATGTCTTAATCATTTTCATAAGTTGGAAGCAAAAACAAAAACACTTGCTTTTGTGGCATTAGACAAATTCAGCTCATTTTCTACCAGTAGAAATTGTGACAAAGTGATGACTTTACTTCTTTGAACCTGTGCAAAGTTATTTTTGGAATTTCTTCTCATTATTATGTATAATAGGCATTGTTAGAATATCAAGATATAACAACTAAAACAAAATATTTTGAGAGCCCCATGAACCATAGCAGTGGTGGGATTCAATTTTTTTTACTACTGGTTCTGTGGGCGTGGCTTGGTGGGTATGGTGTGGTGTGGCTTGGTGGGCATGGCTTGGTGGGCATAGCAGGGGAAGGATACTGCAAAATCTCCATTCCCTCCCGACTCCAGGGGAAGGTGACTGCAAAATCCCCATTTCCTCCCAATCAGCTGGGACTCGGGAGGCAGAGAATAGATGGAGGTGGAGTCAGTTAGAGGTGGTAATTACCAGTTCTCCAAACTACTCAAAATTTCCACTATCAGTTCTCCAGAACTGGTCAGAACCTGTTGAATACCACCTCTGAATCATGGAAAAAATTGAGTCCTGTGAACCATAGAATTTTACAAAGCAAAAAGAAAATAGTTTTTGGCTATCAAAATAGAAGTCAGGAATAAGGAGAAAATATAGTATAATCATAGGGCTGGGAAAATTTATTTTCTTCTCACCAGAGCGAATGATACTAGAATTTACTTTTAATCCTTGTTAACTTTAATTTGCTGAGATAAATAAATGTGGTTTCTTGTACTAGATTTTTCATTCCTGATCTTTGGAATTGCTATCCTCAAAGTTATCTGTTCAATAAATCATAAAATTGTGGCACAATATATTATTATAGTAAATAAAGTAAAATTTTTTAGAAACAATCAGTGGACTGTAATGAATGCAATGAACAAAGCTATTTCCCAGTTACGTCTTCTGTCCAACCACATCATTCTTGCTAACACAGGAGGCTTGACAATGAGGCTTTTAGATCTAAATTGGACTGGAGATGGAATCCCATCACAATGACATCTTATTCTACAATATTTTCCCCCTCCATGTGATAAAAGTATATGAGTTAATAGATAAATGGACAGGCTGGTAATCTGGCCAATGAATTAGAAAATTTCCGCTACCGGTTCTCCAGAACTGATCAGAACCTTCTGAAACCCACCTCTGGAATGAACAAGTTAAGATTGAAAGAAGGGCATTTTTGTTTCAAAACTGCCTGCTTGGGCTGTATATGTGTGCATATTGATATATTTTTTAACCTTGTACTGTATATATATCTTTAGTTTCACAAGTGTGTATGTGAGTGAGTGATATCTTTCCTTTGTCCTTGTGTTTGTTTTGAGATGCTATCTATTGCATACAGTATTTATATCCTACTTTTTCTCTAGGAGGTCAAGGCAACAGGCTTATTTCTTCCATTTTATCTTTACAAGAAGATCTCTTTAATTAGGACAGAATGAAAGTAGTACAAACAGCCTAGCCTGTAAGCTGCAGAAAAATAACTTGAATTAAGAATTATCACTGAAATGATAAAGGCTATGAAAACCACACCGTAATAAAGGATGATGTAAAACTATATAATATAAATGTGATTATATAAAAGCAATGAAAGTGGAGTTTTACAGCTGTTAGAAATATTTTTTAAATCAGGCAACACTAAAATTTTAATGAAATCCTTGGCAGAAATGACTGGAAATTAAATACAGTAAATCTTTCAGTTTTTAGAAACAACCAGGGACTCAACATTATGTTATAGATTTTTAGAAGAAAACACTTCTTTGATGAAATAGCAAAGTGAACACAAATTAGAAGAATGTTTAGGCTTACTGGGGAAATAAATATTTGTTTAAAAAAAATCCTTTGTCCAATATTTTTTTCTGCCCTGTCCCCCCCAGTATAATTTAAAGAGACAGCTTAATGAATTATTGTGGAGTCATCTGATCAAAACCAAGGGAAACTTCAGCATTTCATTTCATTTCATTTTAAAACCATGCCTGTTGCTCATCTAATTAACACCAGCACAGCTGCTAATTAAATAGTTTGCAATACCCAGCTACATAATTGGCCGACAGATTGAGTTAGGCCTTTGCTACAGGGAGTGAGTACCTTTCAAAGCCTTGCGTTCATATCCTATTAATGGTTTATAAAATATTCAGGCTGACAAAAGTTCACAATTTTTGGGAAATATGCTGTCAGCATCATTCATTTCCGTTTGGAGATTCTTTTATATCACTTTTCAATAATTCAGGAAGTACTTTTCTTCCTTTCTTTTTTCTTATTACCTTCCAATTTTAACTTCATATGCTAGTGCTTCATTGTAGCCAATTTATTGGTTGTAATCCATAATTTTTTTTTTTAAGAAACAAAACATAAAATGACTTATCCTAGCTCAGGGCTTTCAAACTTGTGGCCCATGGGCTGGATGAGTCACACGCTGGCCACACCCATCCCTGGTTTAGTGAAGGGGGGAAAAGTCGCAATATGTCACATGACGACAACGTGACACTGTGAGTTTGACTCTCCTGTCCTAACTCAATTTGAACCAATTTCACATAATAATCAATTCTCATATTTCTTTAATTGAAATTAATACCAACCTGCTTTATTAATTCCAATTAATTAATTAATTAATAATTTATTAAATAATTAAATATTTATAAATCATAATATATATATAATATATATATTATATATATATAATAATTTATAAATAATAATATATAAATATATATATAATATATAAATATAAATATATAAATAAATAATTAAATAATTAATAAATTAATTAATTCCAATCTGCTTAAATCATTATGTGTCAGGTGTAAGAAATCGGGAAGTGAGACTGTTGAAATGACTATAGGTTTGTTGGATGTTAACACTCTACAAGAATATGAACAACTAACAGTCAAAGCAAATTGGCGGTAGATAAGAGTCAATGGAATTCAAGGTGGACTGGACTTAGATCTTTTGTGAGAGCGAAGTGACTCAAGACTGATGGTGCACTTGACCCTTCCCTTGGGCTCAGCCTGGTCATCTCCTTTATCATATATATATATCGGTAGTCCTTGACTTACGACCACAGTTGAGCTCAAAATTTCTGTTTCTAAACATGACAGTTGTAAAGTGAATTTTGCCCCATTTTACAACCTTTCTTGCCATGTTAAGTAAAACATGGAAGTTAGCAACACAGTCGTTAAATAAATTGGCTTCCTCATTGTCAGAAAGTCACAAAAAGTAAACACAGGACCCCAGGACACTGCAGTCACCATAAGCATATGCCAGTTGTTAAGTATCCAAATTTTGATCATGTGATCACAGGGATGCTGCCACAGTCATAAGTGTGAAGAATAGACCTAAGTCACTTTTTCAGTGCTGTTGTAACTTCAATCAGTTACTAAATGAATGGTTGTGAAGTTGAGGACTATCGGTACTTCCTGGTGGATCAAATTTAGCTAGCATTATATTAGTCTTTGACTGCAATAAATCAATATGAATTGAATAGAAATATGATTTTCTTTGAGGGATCCTTGTTGCTCTCAAAGCTTGCTTGTTTCCCTGCAGAAGTTTCATCCCAAACTAGGTAACACCAGTGCTGCAAGAAAACAAGGTATCATCAGTCTGCAAGAAAACAAACAAGCTCAGAGATCCCTCATATCAAACCTGAGCTACAAATATTTTCCTTTATTAATATGATTGTTGTAGGACTTTTCATCATAATGTGCAATAGAGTATAAATAGTAGCATTTAATCTAGTTTAGAAAAAAAAGAATCAAAATTCAGATGCTGGTTAGTATAAATGAGTCTTAATTGTTGATTTAATAGTGCTATAAAAGTAGAACAAAAATAAGTATAATATAGATTGTGCCTTCAAGTCCAAAATCACTACTTGGACAAGTCCCAACCTATTTTCTAAAATAGGTTGCCATTGCCTGCTTCCTAGGACTGAAAGATAGAGATTGGCACAAAGTAATGCAATCAATTTTGTACTTAAAGTTGGACTGGAATTAATAGTCTCAGAAGTCTAACCTAAAACTATCACACCAAACTAACTCTCAATATATGTTTATTTAAACTATTTCATAAATATTGCAAAATTGGTTTTCATCAAAATAAATTATTATCATTAATTAGAAACATAAAATTATATGAAATAGATTACCAACGTGTGTGTGTGTGTGTGTAGGTAGGTGGGTAGGTAGGTAGGTAGGTAGGTAGGTAGGTAGGTAGGTAGATAGATAGATAGATAGATAGATAGATAGATAGATAGATAGATAGATATTGCTTATTACTAATCCCAATCAACATTAACAATGAGATATCTAAAGCCAATTACAGCATGTAACTTCAATGGACATGGTGTTCCTCCATATACTTAATCTGTATGATTCATATACTTTTGATTATATTTGTTAGGCCTGTGTAAATGGATTTGATTCAAATCTGATTGAATCTGATTTGTTTTGTTAAATCAATTGGATTGAAATTATTAATTAGATCTGAAGCTTCTACTGATAAGAAGCCGGTTGAATCAAGTTGACATCATTTAAAATTATTTAAACATTAAAACATATATAATTTTTTCCTTCTTCACTCCAATATCTCTAAAAATCTGTTCTGGGGAATGTACCACAGTTCCAGAGCACATTTGGAAAACATGGAGGGAGAAAGGAGGAATTGAATTGCCAACACTTCATCTGCTTTTATGTTCGGCTGGTCAATGCCCCCCATCAGCAGAATGGCCAAAATTCAAAACAACTCAATGTTCATTTGTTTATTTGTATTCTGCTTTTATTATTTTTACAAATACATAAAGTGGTGAACATATCCAACACACCTTCCTTCTCCTATTTCCCCACAATAACTTCATGAGGTGAGTTGGATTGAGAGTGAGTTACTGGCCCAAAGTCCCTCAGCTAACTTTTATGGTTAAGACGGGACTAGAACTCACAGTCTCCTGCTTTCTAGTGTTGTACCTTAACCATTAGACCAAAATTGTCTTCAGAAGATCCTCTCATGTGTATTTCAGACAGCAATCAGACAGCTGTGCGTTAAAATGTATATTTTATGCAATTTAGATATGTTCTCCAGAACTTTTTTTCTGCTAAATACTGTATTTTCCCTAATTTACTGCACTGACCTCACATATATGCCTTTAACTTGTAAAGCTAAACCTCTTGTTTGGAAAGAGCATGGAAGACTCTCTCCACAGGTCAATTCTGATCAAGTTAATTAATTAACTAAATTAATTAACTAAATCTTTAAAGAATACGTTAGTATGAGCCATTTTAATTATGACATCCTTTCCTAGCAGTTCCTGGAAAAATGTGTTCATCATTTCTCAATTATTTAATATTTTCCCCTACACTTATATTCCTCTAAAGTAATTCCATTGATGCATAATCCACAAATGAGAGTGAACAATTATTAATTATATTCTTTTCATCAAGAATATATTCATATTATTTTTATCTGGACTAAATGCATCCATTTCCATTCATTTACAGTATTATTTATACATGTTTCTCAATTTGTTTATTTTCTTCATTTCCCATTAATTCATTTCTTCTTTTTATTTCCTATCTCATTTGTTTGTGGCTTCATCTGATCAAATTACAGGAATGACATATTAAAACTGATAAAATGTATGTATCCATGCATAATTGCACTCATGTTATTTTTCCATATAGCCTTCTTTGTTCATCTAATCTTGCATCTTATTAACTTTCTGACAATTACTGCTCTCTAAATATAATTAATTTTCTGACTGGAAAAGGCAAGTTTTTTTTCCAGGTTACAAGTAATTCAGGATTTAATAATGTTCATAAGAACAGAAGTATAACAGAAGTTCACTATCCATAATAGTATTATAGATGCTTGCATTTTTCATCACTAATTATTTTAACATCATAATTTGTAATGCTTTGCATTTTATTCTAAAAATCCCGACCTTTCTTTTTAATCAGTAAAGTTAATCTTATTTAATTGGTAACACATGATATTTGTAAAAAAAAATCAAATAATAAATTTAGGTACCTCCCTTAATAGTGGTAATTGGGACCAGAATTTCCATCTCTAAGTGAGTCAGTTTTTAAATATGTCATGTGACTGCACCATTTAGAAATGGAGATTCCAATAGTTCCAGGTGCTGTCATTAAACAAATCACTATGGATTATTAAACAAGGACATCATGTGGTTTGCAATCTCCAGCCAGCTTCATCATTGACTTTGCTTGTAGGAAACTTGTAAAGAAGGTCACAAATGAGGATCACATGACTGTGGGCCACTGCAATGTCATAATTGAGAGTTGGGTGCTGAGTGCCTGAATCACAATTATGCGACTGCCACAAATGTAAATACAAGAACCAGTCATAAATTCCACTTGTTGCACTGTTATCAGTCTGAATAGTCACTGAATGAGTGGTCATTAAAGGAGGAGTTTTACATACCCATATAGTTATGCCCAGCCATTAAAAAGTGGAGGAAGTGCTAAACTACACTTTATTATAATAAAAATTATTCTCTACCAGAAAGGATTTAGGCTATTCTTAAGGAATTGCAATGATTCCTGCCTCAACCAGAACAACTTAATTATTCCTTATGGTTTTGGAAGTCTTCCCCCAAATATTGCTAGCCAATAGGCTATAACTAGATTATAGTTCTCAAAAATCCAAGAATACGTCACAAAAAAATTTAAAAAGCAGTCACTCAGATTGTGTCCATTTAGTGGCACCATAACCAAGCCTTCAAACGATTATCTTAAAAGCTGAGTTAGTACACATTGGAAAAACTGTTCCATTGAATACTTGGACTCCAAGCTAATCATCCATAATATAGTTTGCAGTAGTTTCAGGAGGAAATAGTTTTTGGAGATTATGGGGAATTGATGTGGTTAATTGTACACATTGCTCAGTAATTGGACATGATTATTCTGCATCATTTAAAGCCTCTGCATCATCTTCAAGAGATGTAGAGTGCAATACAATAATTAAGACATGAAATTACTACTGGTAAGATACTCACACTATAAATCAATTAAAACTGAACAGAGATGGCCTCAGTCATTGCAATCACTATCAAATGTAATGACCAAACAAGATCCAGGAATATCCTCAAGACAGATATCTCTACTTCAGACCACTTTCCTACCTTGAGATCTCATCACATTTCCCAATGACTGTTTGTCTTAGCTTTCTGGATCCCTTTAGTTGAAAAGCTACAAATCATGACAGAGTTAGAACTAATTCATCTTGTAGCCTAACAAAACCAAGCATGAAGCCACTTTTTATCTCTCCAGAAAGTAATTTCATGAATTTATTTATCACCAACTTCCTTTTCCCAGAGCTTATCTGTTAGGAACTCATAGATATTTTTCATACTTAGAAGATATAATGCACAAATGCACCCCTCTCTTCTTTGTTTCTTAAAAAAACCTCAAAAGATATTTCTGTTAATTTTCTAATAACTTGATATTTTCAGATTTTTCAAAAGCACATACCTACCAGAAATCAATTTGGAAAAACCAATAAATTCATTGAATGTGGATCCATTTAGCTTGAATCACTTGTCTATTATCTAACTCAGTGTTTCCCAGCCTTGGCAGCTTTAAAATATGGGGACTTCTGATGATGCTGATTGGGAAATTCTAGGAATAAAATCCACACATCTTAAAGTTGTGTAGTTTGAGAAACACTAATTGAAGGGATGTCAAGCTAGTGGCCAGAGGGCCGGATGCATCGTGCACAGGCCTCACCCTCCCCAGCTCTGTGAATGGAAAAACATCATGAAATGTCACGTGACAGCACCATGATGCCATGAGTTTGACACCCATGTACTAATGTATTCCTTAAAGAATGAATGGTTTCCTACTAATTTGTATCAGAAAGGATTGTGTGGTTAAGCCTTTGTAATACTTGATTACAGAGCTATTTTCATGTGACTTTAACTTCTGGAGTCTGCTAACATTTTTCTTGCTGTTCTTATAAACTTCTCATTTATGATGTCTCTGCTACTTGGCAAGAGGAAAAATTAATGTCTGTGTTTGCCACTGAAATTTATGAAAGCTGTACAAAAGTGAGAATGGAATTGTTTTAATCCTGGCAGCAAAAGATAGAAATGGAAATTATATTTTCTCACTATTTCCCACAGATCCTTGTTTCCTATTTTGAAGTGATTCATCAAACAGGAAAAAAAGACCATTGATCTGGATTAACTAAATAAACTTTACACGTAATAAGCATCTTCATTCCTTCCTTTTTATTTTCATAGGTATCAGTATAGTGTTTTGTTTAAAGCTTATTTTTTTCCGGTACCACTATTTTTTTTATTAATCCTATAGACTAAAACAGGGGTGTCAAACTGGCAGCCCGCAGCCCAGATGCATCACATGCAGGCCATGCCCACCCCAGCTCTGCTAAGGGGAAAAACGTCACGAAACATCATGTGACAGCAGCGTGACACAACACGTTTGACACCCGTGGACTAAAAGATATTAAAGGTAGTGTTTTAATCAAAATATAATTGATCTAAATTAAAGATTCAATGTGTTGCAAATGTTTTTGTTTACACTTCAGGTAGAAGTCTTGGCATTATGTATGACATCATGTATTTAATAATAAAATATAGAACTTAAAACGGCATGGGATTTTGCAAACTTTGTTTTTACTATTAATGAAAACTTGCAACAGTAAAATAACTTCATTTTAATAGAATTTGTGGGTAACCACATTTCTAAACACCTATTGACATTCAGAAAGTTTAAAAATATTGTTTTCCTTCCTTCCTTCCTTCCTTCCTTCCTTCCTTCCTTCCTTCCTTCCTTCCTTCCTTCCTTCCTTTTCAAATAACAGTAATGCTTTGCTCGTTCTATCCCAGTCACTATACAATTTCAAATGGTTAAGTATTTGACATCTTGGGTTAATAAAGTAGAAGTTATTGGACCTACTATTATGGAAAGATTGATTATAGCAAAAAAGAATTTCCCTCTCAATACTTGGGTTATTCAAACTTCTTTTAGTCATATAGAATCACCAGTATTATAGTCAATCGTAGTCAGATGTATTATGACATTAAAAACTATATATCAATGTAAATATGGTTACAAAAGGACTTGTTTTTGAAAATATATCTTCCCAATTCCAATAAAACAGTACTTTAATTTTACTAGGCAATATTTCCTATAAACATTGTGTTGAAATCTGAATTATGCATGTGAAATAGTAAATACACATCAGAAGCAAGATTTAAGCACATTCTTCATTTATCATTTTAAATATTAGATCAGTCAAATAATTGGCAAAACAATTCAACATTTGAATATGCTTCATAATACAAAATATTTGGATTGTCAATTATATAATAAATCATTTGCTAATGAATATTGTATTTAAAAAAAGATAAGGATGCTATCTACATTTACCTACTCTGATCCCAACTGGCTGCAAAGAGCAAAAGTATCTTTCTGCCATAGTGATCACGGTTTTCTAGCACTCCTGGGAATCCATCAATCAGAGCTCGTTTGATCCCTGGATCATCAGCTTTGAAATTTTTAAACATATCCAGATTCAGCTGCCGGTATTGGAAATACTGAGCCAATAATCTGAAGGCATCTGTTTGATGAAACTTTCTGGCTCGGAGAAATCTCAGGATGAAGGCATCATCTGTACGCAAGAATCCAATGTCAGGTCTTGTGATGATCATGTCCCTTACTTGCTGAATATCCTGGTGCAAAACATCTGGGTTTTCATTAAGTTCCAGACGGGCTTTCTCTATGATTTCTGGACTGAGACCAGTATGCAAATGGGTCATGTCTTCAAAAGCTGCTTTTCCAAATCCTTAGCTTTAGAAATATGGTCAGAATGTGCAATGGCCCCATTCAACTAAGAGTATGTGGTGATCCATTCAAGTGCATTTACCTCTTGCATTATACTGAGTGGGGGGGGGGGGAATTCAGAGGTAATTCCATTCATATCCCCAGATATCCATCCAAGGTACAAATTTGCATTCTCTGTAAAACAAATATATAGATCAAAATCACTAATTACATGTGAATAAACAAATTGAATAAGCACATTTCAAAACTTTCTATCTCCCTTTTTATTGCCAGTATAGACCTGTTTAAAATTGAACTATTTTGAATGGAATAATACATTGCCATCAGTTCTGTGCCTCACATACATCATGATGAAAATATAATTGCACTGAACCATCAACATTGTAGATATTACATTGATTTAATATTTAGTATTATGCTACTGCTCCTTATTTAACAAGAATAAAGTTAAAAATGGAAGACTGGGAGTGTGATGTATGTACTCTGAGAAATAACACTTTTTGTAAATAAAACCTGCTTTCGTCTTGCTAAATGGAACTTCATTCTCATTGAGACCATAATTTCCAAAGAATTTTACTCAGAACAGTTTTCAATATTAAAACAGTTCTTACTAATCCCCAACAAGAGATTGTTCTTTCAAACATGTGAATTTATGCAAAACATAGATATACATGCACTTTCACATATATTCCTTGGGCAGTGTACAAACCAGTCTTTTTCAAGTAGGAATAATTTTTAACAGCCACATCCACAAAACAGCCTTTGAGCTTAGGAACCTATCCTCCCTTCCTTCTTCCACCTCCCCATAGACTAAGGTGGATGAATTGCATTCCTTGATCTATTCAGATAGCCACAAAACATTATCTGAACACATCTGAAGAAAACTATTCTAGAGAATCACACAAGCATGGCATTGCAATCTACATAATTGTTTTTGGCGAAACTCTGAAGCAAGATTAGAAAAGATTTCTATTGAAGAAAATTACCTAATCATTAACACACTGAGGTGATTTAGTCAGTTTCTTCTGGAGAGATTTCTGGACTCCACATCTCCCACAACTTTCCACATATTCCAATGCAGAGTGCCAAAGGAATCAGTCCCTTCTCTTGAAACAAATTTCTATGTATCTTTATATATGTGTGAACTGCAACATATATAAGGTAAGGTAAAGGTTCCCCTCGCACATATGTGTAGTTGTTCCCAACTCTAGGGGGCGGTGCTCATCTCCATTTCAAAGCCAAAGAGCCAGTGCTGTCCGAAGACATCTCCGTGGTCATGTAGTCGGCATGACTAAACGCCAAAGACACACGGAATGCTGTTACCTTCCCACCAAAGATAGTCCCTATTTTTCTACTTGCATTTTTTATGTCCTTTTGAACTGCTAGGTTGGCAGAAGCTGGGACAAGTAATGGGAGCTCACCCCATTACACAGCACTAGGGATTCGAACTGCTGAACTGCCGACCTTTCGATCGACAAGCTCAGCATCTTAGCCACTGAGCCACCGTGTCCCTTATATGAAAAATATATAGGACTCAAATAATTTGTTTATATCTATATTGATATAGATATAAATATCCATAATCCACATATCCATGGTAGAGTGAAAGAGGATAAAGGGAGGGGAGGAGACAAGAGGAGAGGAGAGACTATAGTGAAAGTGGAATGATTACTGGAAGAGAAATAATTCCATTTTCATTCTAGTTACTTTCACTTCCTTGTTTTTCTTTCAGGTCCATTTTTCTTTTAGATTTATTCTTGAACTACTATAAAATCCCCTGTCCAAAATTCAGAACTTCTTTTCATCCTTGTATTCTCATTAATTGTCTCAGACTTTCATCATAAACAATTAAACCAGTCACATTTTTAAATCCATTCCCTTTTGTGTTACACATGAAGAACGTATGCTGAACCATGCATTTATCCAAAACAAATAGGATGTCTGAGCAGATGATCATCAATCCAATTGCCATTGATTCTTGAATATGCAAATGGCACAGTCACATTCTTGAACTCTTTCTTACTCTCTCATCCATTCATCTCACTTCACAGAAAGGAATTGCTTAATTTTTTTTTCCCCCTGAAGTATGATGCAATATTTGATTATGGGTAGAATTTTAGGGTAATACTAGTCAGGCAAAGGATCCTCTGCCTGCAGAAATTGAACCTAGAACTCTCAAGATGGCAAAAAATCCCGAGTGCTTCCAAAAAACAACAATTCAGGGAAAGAAGTAGTGAGACTGCATCAAAAATGACTTCCTCTTCTAGAAGTTCAAGTTCCTTCTTGAGGAAGCCAAGTGAGTCTCCCCTGATAAACACAAAGGTGAGTCCAGATCCAGAGATAACTGATATTCTTGTTTGAGGTTAATAAGCTTTAAAAGTACAACGTTCTTCTTTATAAGGGTCTTATCCATAGAAGAGTAAAGACAGACAGACTTTAGTAAAAGTTTTACTTATATTCCATCTTAGTCATTATTAAAGCTGAACTCTGAGGATCTTATCATCTACTCAGCTATCCAAAAAGGTCAACACACATGCCTTCCCTGAGTTAGCCCTGCTAAGTCATTATTTATTTGTTTGTTTATTGCACTTATATGCCTAGAGGTAAGCCTATATGTAGAAATCCATGAGTGAATGCTGTGCTATGCTAACCAGCTTTTGATTGTATTCAATAGACCATAGTAAGTCACTCACAGGAAATGTCAGGCTTTACCAATTGAGCTGGTGAAAAGAAAGAATGAAAAAAGAGGAAGGTGTGCTCAATAGATGGCAGCTGGTAATATTTCCAGCTGCATGTGTGGTACCAAATAGGCTGACTTGTGCTAGCAGATCATGAAGTTAAATCTTTTCACATAAGTAAATGAAATGTCAGGTTTACTGTTTGGTGAAATGTCCCATTTTACATGAACACATATAAAATCACTAAAAAGTAAATACCTACAGTACTATACATCATTCATTTTAACATCCCTTCTTTCATTCTAACATTTGGCCTTAAGGCAACATGTAGGCAGCCAGAATAATCAATATTCCTTTGAAGTTTCCTAATAGTATTACTAAATATAAAATGCTATTGGCTATTGTAATACATTCATTTAGTGGCTGAACTATGCCTACTAGTTGTTTCATTCATAAAAATTCTCGAATGCTATAAAGCAATTAAAGCAAAAAGTATTTAATATTCAGCTTTAACAATTAACATTTATCATTAACAATATAAACTGCTACACGTTAATTAACCTAACAAAGCTTTAGACTCCTATCCTGTTGTTATAATCTGTTTACAAAATCTGAACATACAACTGCCAGGTCTTTAGTGTGAAACCATCAAACCTAGGATGTCATAAGGTATCAAAATGAGCTGATCCAAGTAGTGTGATCTTTTGAAATTGACAGATGGAAATTTTATCAATGGGTTTATCAATAGATTTTCTAAGTGCCATCCAAGATTTTAGTTTATGCCATAATTTTTCAATTTCAATTTTTACACCTTGATACCTTGTGTTCTTCTCCAATCCTTTATCTACCTTTCTACTATCTCCAGGTATCGCCACATCAATTATCTATACTTTCTTCTTTTAAGCCAATTATATCTGGTGTGTTATGAGCCAAGACTATATCAATCTACATTCAGAAATCCCATAATATTTTACACATGTTCATTTTTTACTATTCTTTCAACTATATGTACCCACCAATTTTTCATTACTAGTACATGATAATTTTTACAGATGTTCCAGTGAATCATTTTGGCAGATGTGCTTTATTGTATAGTTTGTAGTAATTACAAACTAAATATAATTAGTTTGTGTGATATTCTATCATGAGCTGAATATATGATCTACTCTTTGTTCTGCCTCTTTGCACAATCTGCACTTTTAGTCACTTAAAGATGTTTCAATTTTTGGCCTTGATTGCATTAGTTTGAATAGTTTGCTCTTGCACAGCCAAAAGCAAGTCTTCAGTTTCTTTTTAAAATATTATTATGTAGTAAATACTAGTAAAGGATTACTTGTGAGACGATATTACAGTATTTAACTGGAATTGAATAAATGTTATCGTTACCAATTCTACAAAAATCAGTAACTGTGTTTACAAAAAGAAATGAAAAAACTAATATTAAGACAGGGATATATCTATATCTATGTGTGTGTGTGTGTGTGTGTGTGTGTGTATGTATATATATATATACATACATACATACATATATACATATATACGTATACATATACATATACATATACATATACATATACATATACATATATAGATCAATCAAACATGAGCTGGTCAGGATCAAACTCCTGGCAGTGGGCAGAGTCAGTCTGCAATACTGCATTCTAACCACTGTGCCACCTAGGCTCTTAAATAAACAACTGTTGAAATGTTGTTTGTATCAGTTAGTACCAGTTTTATTTTCCTATATAATATAACCTGTATAATCTACAGATTTGGTGCAGAACTAAATAATAATAATAATTCAAATACAACTTTCCAACATAATAGTGTACTCACTCACAAGTCTACACAAAATTAACATATTTAGCAATATCAATAACACTTAAACTTATATACTGCTTCATAGTGCTTTACAGCCCTCTCTAAGCAGTTTACATAGTCAGCATATTGCCCTAACAATCTGGGTCCTCATTTTACCAACCTCATAAGGCTGAGTCAACCTTCAGCCAGTGAGAATTGATCTGCTGACAGTCAGCATAATTAGCCTGCAATACTGCATTCTAAACACTGCCCCACCATGGCTCTATGATTTATCTCTAATCATAGAATTATTTAATCAAATAACTGATTTATTTAAAAAAATACTGAAGGGATGAAGTTTATATTCTACTCTTCTTTATTTTTCACCATTCTTCTAATTTCTATTTATTTTAAGCTGTCTGCAAGATTCCATCTATTTATTATAATTGAGATCACTGAAATAAACTAGGGCTAGAATTCTAATTTAACAAGTATATGTGTCAGGTAAAAATTACTTTTAATACAACACTATTCACAAAAATGCTTCAAAAATTATGTTATGAATGGTTGGCTGAAAAAAACCAAATGCATTTTTCAAAGGCTTACCTGTCCATCATTGCTTTGTGCGAAATATTAATGCAGTTTATGCTTTTAGTGCTTTGTGATTTTTCTTTGTGACTTCAATGTTAGGGAAGCCCTCCCTAAGCTAGAAATGACCTAAATTGTAGTCAAATGATCTGGAGATCATTAGGTTTGAAAAGCTGTGATCCCTATTTTGCAATTCTAGCATAATATTTGATGATGTATTCGCAAATGTTTGATGTAATGATTACTATTACACCAATTATAATACTTGCATTTTACAATCTTATTTCTTTATATCCTGCCTTTATTTTATATTTTTGTACAAATAACTCAAGGCAGAACAATCTTCTTCCTCCTATTTTCCCCACAAAAACCACTCTGTGAGGTGAGTTGGACTGAGAGAGAATGACTGGCCCAGGCACCCAGCTGGCTTTTATGTCTATGGTGGGACTTGAACTACAGTCCCCCACTTTCTATCCTGGTGCCTTAACCACTAGTGTATATAAGTATAGATATAGGTATAGATGACATAGGCATAGATATACTGTAGATTAGAGATAGAGGTAGAGGTAGAGGTAGAGATAGAGATAGAGATAGAGATAGAGATAGAGATAGAGATAGAGATAGATAGATAGATTTATGTAGCAATAACTGATATTTACCATTATTATAAGTTCAGGCCTATGTCTATTGCAATAAATTACACCAGTGACTCACTGTTTAAGTGGAACTATTCAACTAAATAGCAATAGACATATACTGCTTTATAGTGCTTTACAGCCCTCTATAAGAGGTTTACAGAGTCAGCATATTGGCCCCATCAATTTGGGTCATCATTTTACCCACCTCGGAAGGATGGAAGGATTAGTCAACCTTGAGCCTGGTGAGATTTGAACTGCCAAATTGCAGGCAGCCGGCAGAACTAGCCTGCAGTACTGCACTCTAACCACTGCACCACGATGGCTCAATGTTGCCATTATGGCAGATAGGATGTGTTATTGGTTTCTTTGTTCAGTTTATATCCCACTTTTCCTTCACGAGCACAAGATGGAATGTTGGGTTGAAAAAGAGTGATTGGCTCAAAGTAACCCAATGACCTATGGTTTAAATCTGGCCCTTCCTAAATCACCATACCATGCTGGTTTTAAATCACTATATCACATATACTACACTGATATGAAGCTGTTTATGGAAATGTCAGGCTAGGCTTTTTTTGGTTTAGAAGTCATCAGTTATACATTGTTTGTCAATAAAGACAACAAATATCCCCTCTCAAAAGATTCTGTACCATGTATAAAATTCATGTCTCAATTACTATCACGACATCAGTGATAGTTTTGAAGGCCCAATTCTGCTGTTTTGAATTGACAAACTATGCTTAATTACATCAATATGTTATTGCTAATCTAATTTTAAAAAGCCAAAGGAAATTAAAGAGCCAAAGGAAAACAATTTCTTAAAATTATCCATGCAATGACAAATGATCAGAAAGCATTCTTTCTCTCTTTTAAAAATTTTCTCTTGCATTTGATTGTTTGGCTCTTGATTTTCAGAACAGGGATGAGTCAACAAAACAGGAAAATTATTAATATACCTAGTATAATATCATTAAAAATGAAAGGCACCACAAGAGCTGAATCACTGAAATCAAACCAGGAAAAGAATTTGTTTAGTGATACCCTGTTACAAGCTGAAAGAGAAAACGCATACGTGTGTCTGCTCTGCATGACATCATGCTGTTACATAACATCATTTTACTTGTTGGCACTGCACTAACTTTTAATGTACTAGGACAATCTGTGTTATTGTCTCATTATACCATGTAACCACAGGGAACTTCTCTCTCCATGTGTGTCTCATGTTTGTCTGTCCCTTCCAAATATAAACCAACTGCATTTAAGAACAAAGAGCAGCCATCTGTTCTTTAACTTTGGATTATTGTTTTCATCCATTTTCCTCAAAAAAAAAAAAAAGCCCAAGAAAAGATTGCCAGTATTAGAAATATATTGTAAAATAATTGTATGATTTCATTACATTTAGTTATATCTACAAAAATCTTGACTTTTATACCTCATAAAGGGAAAAAATAAACCATTACTTTCTACATTAAAGAAAAATGTGATTTTGGCAGAAGAAATTCACTCTCCTCTTTATTGATAATAATTTCTCATTTAGAAGTTATTTCAATTCTTTTTGGGGTTTTTTAAGCATCTCTTCAAATTTAAGGGTTATGGAAGCAGACAGCAAATTATTTAAGAGCAGCTTTTGCCTCCTGATCTTTACAATTGTCCCATTTCCTCGCTGAGAGACACATCATCCATTCAACACACCCACCCACACACTATTCTAACTCTCCTATACTTTGACCTTTCTTTTCTAAATTCTAACCTTCAACTGAACTTCCTTACTTAAGGCTCCTAGAAATATTAGTAGATACGTGTGCATGCATGTACACGTGTAGTTATTTTTTCTGCTCCCCCCCTGAGAATTTAAAGATACTCGAATTTAACCTCTGTGGGAGTTTATAAGGGGGGGGGAAGCCACGGAAGTCCAGGAAGAAGAGTTAGATAGCGGGGGAAGGAAAAGCTTAAGAACAGATGGGTTGCAGACAAGAGCTGTCCACATAAGATAGTGCTGAAACGCCGCAGCCATGGCATTGCAACAAAAAGAGAGAGAGAGAGAGAAACGGGAAAAAACAAAAGCTACTGCAAGCACAGAAAAGATGTATCTCAAATACCTTTAGAGTGCCGTAAAGCTCCACCCTGGATGAGGTTCTTGGCTCACAGATAGGGATGGCTGTAAGACAGCTTTTGGTCTTTGCAGCCTCAACAGAAGATCTCTCTAAAGAACTGTGAATGAACAAGCTCTGCCTCCACAGGGCTATGCATTTTTGGATAGGATGAGTGTGTGTGCTTCTCCACACGGTAGCAGTCATCCCCCCCGGGTCCTAAAAACCTTCTGTCTTCAATTCAGTCTTATAGCAGAAGAACACAATGCACACATGACAATAAGATCCCGCCTGTGTGACAGATGATTCCAGAAATGCTTTTCATGATAGGACATGCTGAGAATGATATAGGAATATGTTAGAAAAAAGAAAAGAATGGAGTCCTTATGCAAAAGAGACTGATGCTGCAATGCTGAGTGTTTGTGTGTGTTTATTGTGAAAGCTAAGGCAGTTGGAGATATGATCCTGAGAAAAGAAATACCATCTCTTTTTCTTATGGCTACATGTTAGGAAGAACACTAATAAAGCTGGAAAAACCACCATCTGCATAGCAACTGTGTGTTCCCAAAGGATGTATTTTGCTCAGCACCAGCTATTTAAAAGGTCATTGAAATTCAGCATGCTGGCAAAAATTTAAATCTCCATGAAGCATCTTCCTTTTTTCTCAGTGACGAACTTCCAGGTTATCACCCAGACACAATTTCTTCATACAATCCGATTGGCCCAAATCTCAACTTAGATAGCAGAACAACAATTAGATTCACACATTATGATAAGATACAGGTAGTATGACTGCTTAAACAAGCATAAGATTAAAAAAACATTGAGGTGGAGGAGGAGGAGGAATGAACCTGGTTGAGTATCATTATGTTAATACATCATAATTTGCTATGATATCTAGTATTTAATTCATTATTGAAATATGTAGTACATATGAAATTGGTATGCCAGTCCTTGGTTCTCTAGACCAGTGGCCCCCAATCTTTTGGGCACCAGGGATCGGTTCTATGTAGAGAGATTTTTATTGTTTTTTATTGATTACCCATGATCACTTTTTGTGAGATTGATGGTTAATTGGTATAAATTTGATTAATAAATAAATAACATATCCCTACAACAGGACGATCACTCTATATTTCTTCTGATGTATTAAGATACTGCTGACTACCAACCATGGAGTCTACAAGCAGGGCAAACTTGACAGATGACCAAATACATATCACAATGTCATAATGAAAATTCTGCATATGGGGCAGAATTTCTAGTTTAGATACCAATTGATATTGTGCAAAAAAATCCAACCTTTAGTAGAAATATCTGCATACAGAATCCTGCAAACAGTTTCTTTGCTCTTTTTAAGTAGCTTGCTATATACTAGTATACTATAAAATACTCATATGAAATAAAGTACTTAAGCATCAATTATAATACTACAGATTTTTGTTTTATTTTCTTAACGTTGATGTACTCTGCCAAATTCTGCTCTCATAATTTTTCTCCTGAAATCTTAGATGAGTTACTTACTATACAGATGGCATTTGACATCACCTTATTACATGAATACATCATTCTTTGAGAGAAGATGCAGGTAGACAATTTTGAATATTGTCAAATATATACAGAATACATTGGCCAGATGTTTAGACTGGATTTGGCAGTTAACACCAGTGAGTTGGGGGTAGTTATGTTTAGGAAAATATTTGTTTGGAAAAACAAATGTTATGATCTTAAGAAGTCTAGTTTAAAAGACTACGCTTATTTGAAGATAATGTCTACAGAGATTTTTGGGAGTTTAGTCATCTTCTTTTCTTTTACATACTATAAAACACTAAAGCAAATTATAATAAGGCACTGGCTTCTTCTGAAGCAGAAAAGGAAATGTTTCATTTTGTTGTCAGTTTGTTGTAGTGAAATAAATAATGGTAATCCATGCTTCAAAAATTTTGTTAGATTTCATATAGGTACAAGCAAACATTCCTGGCAAATAGATGGGGAAGAAATGGAGGTAGTGACAGATTTTATTTACCTGGGCTCCAAGATCACCGCAGATGGGGACTGCAGCCAAGAAATTAAAAGACGCTTGATCCTGGGGAGAAAAGCTATGGCAAATCTAGAAGCATACTAAAAAGCAGAGACATCACCCTGCCAACAAAAGTGAGTATAGTCAAGGCTTTGGTTTTCTCAGTTGCAATGTATGGCTGTGAAAGTTGGACCGTAAGAAAGGCTGAGCACCAAAGAATTGAGACCTTTGAACTATGGTGCTGGAGAAGACTCCTGCGAGTCCCTTGGACTGCAAGGCAATCAAACTGGTCAGTCCTAGAGGAGATCAACCCTGACTCCTCTTTAGAAGGTCAGATCCTAAAGATGAAACTCAAATATTTTGGCCACCTAAGGAGAAGGAAGGACACACTGGAGAAGAGCCTAATGCTGGGAAAGATTGAGGGCAAAAGAAGAAGGGGACGACAGAGAATGAGATGGCTGGATGGAGTCACTGAAGCAGTAGGTGTGAGCTTAAATGGACTCCAGAGGGTGGTAGAGGACAGAAAGGCATGGAGGAATGTTGTCCATGGGGTTGTGATGGGTCGGACATGACTTCGCAACTAACAACAGCAACAACAAGCAAACATCTTTTTGCTATTCATAAGAACTCAAGTTTTCTCAGGCTTCTACCACAGCATGAAAAAAGATGCTGCTGCCTTAATGAAGTAGTATTAAAAATGTTTTCAATGAAATGTTTAAAGCAATTATATCTTTTTTCAGTCTGTCAGGGAAGCTTGAAAAATCTCATAACCACTTTAATAAATAGTAAATTGATGTTGTGTTTACACAAGATTCAAAGCAATCCTGAATTACTTTTGAAGTATCTACTCTTTTAATAAATAATTCGAACATCTAGAATTATGCATTTAGAATTTTCAAACCTAATTCTATAGCCTCAAACATTTTTCTTCTTGTTGCTGTGGAATTATAAACATGAAATGTTCATTGGAAGATATGTAGACATTGTACTGCATATAAAATTCTTGAACTCATATTTTATAAGACTTAACATTACCTGAAACACATGTTTTCATTTCAGAAAATAAGTTCTGATTATAGTATGAAGGGAGGAAAATACTTTGATCATCTGACTGGAAATAAAGCAGTAAACATTATTTCCATTGCTTGATGCATATGTACCGTACACCATATATCCTTCCCTTAGAATAACTATGAGTTGAAGAAACCCTTTACGTTAGATGTTGTACCGATATATAGTGGATGACATTCCAGTATGATAATTACTGTACATCTTCTGTGATATTCAATAATTTGGAAGTTTAATTTTGGATTTAGAGTAACAGTAGAAGTCTGATTGACATCCCTTGCTTTCATTCATGAGGAAGGTGTAAAATCCTTGAACAGGTTTTGTGTTGGGTGATTCCTTAATTTGTGTTTATGCCTGCTTCTTCTTTCCTTTTTCCAGAATCTTTAGTTTTCTTGAAACTCCACACTCTAAACTTAATAGGGGTAACTGCAAATTATGGGGGAAGGAGTCTTGAAGATAAAAAGGCTGTGCATGAACCCTAACCTTAATCCTTCTTTTAGTTTGCTGCATTTTAATGCAGTGGAGCAGACTGCTGACCTTCCAGTGCTGGAATGAGTTTCTTTCATAGCCTTGTCAGCTTCTAATGTGGAATGGTGGGAAGGGAAGACAGTGATAAAACTCCCTTGAACTGGCCTGAATGCTGCCACCTTCCCTACCCCAAATGGATCTTTCACATTTGTATTGGTATGGTCCTCCCACTTGCCTGGACTCATAATTTCTGATTGAATGATATTTTTGTATTCTATTTAGCATTAAAAGATGAGGAAGAATAGGATGTCCTTGCCAGATAAAATGATTCAGAAGGATTATGGGAAGGATTTTCTCCACTGAGGTTTTTCGTTAATAGAAAAGAGCTAATGCTCTGATATAACCTTGCTGCTCACAGAGATGGCTTTCTGACACCTCTCCTCCCAAGCATATATGTATTTTTTTCTCAGATTGAGTTGAAGTATCCTCTGGATGCATTCATGGCATTTACTTTGTTTTACTACTTTTAGTAATTTTCAGTATTTTTAATGATTTACAGACCCCTCCCATCCTGGACATAAATTGTTTCAACTCCTACCTCAGAATGACATTATAGACCACCACACACCAAGACAACTAGACACAAGAACATTTTTTCCCTGAATGCCATCACTCTGCTAAACAAATAATTCCCTCGACACTGTCAAATTATTCACTAAGTCTGCATTACTATTACTATTAGTCTTCTCATTGTTCCTATCACCCATCTCTTCCCACTTATGACTGCATGACTGTAACTTTGTTGCTTGTATCCTTATGATTTATATTGATATTGTTTCCTGACTGCTTATTTGTACCCTGTGACTATTATTAAGTGTTGTACCTTATGATTCTTGATGAACATATCTTTTCTTTTTATGTACACTGAGAGCATGTGCACCAAGACAAATTCCTTGTGTGTCCAATCACACTTGGCAAATAAAAAATTCTATTCTATTCTATTCTATTCTATTCTATTCTATTCTATTCTATTCTATTCTATTCTGCAATCCATTCAGCTATTGGGCAGATTAGAAATGAATGAATAATAAACCTTTTTATCTTACAGTCAAGAAATCATGGTTCTTCCTCTGAAACTTCCTAATCGTGTGGCTAAATCCAACAATATTCATGTCTTTTTTCTTTTTTGGAACACGATACTTTACTCACCTGGAAAGGTAATTCATTGGAACACCTAAATGTGTGTGAGCCAGGTGTTTATGACAGTTCTTTGATCTCTGATAGCAGCAAGGAGAGCTCATTCTGAGGATTTGGAGACTTTTCTAGGAAGACCTGTCTCTGAAAGAGAAGAAAATAGTCCCAGCAAATGGAGTTATTGTGAGGGATGGAATCTGATTATACAGTTGTCTGTAAACTGCTTTTCTATTCATTTCTAAACGCTGCAGAAAACATGCTAGCTTTCCACATTCTAGGTGCTTCCCACATATGTATCTGCATTCTGAAGTGCAAAGGCCCCAGGGAACTCCATTTTAAAATTAAAATTGTATACTTTAATTTTAAAAGATATGCATCTGCTGGTTATAAAAGCAATATATATGATCAATTTGGGCTATGGCTGAGAGATTTTGAAGTGGTATCTCCAAA